TTATAATATTTCATGAGGGCCCATAGTGCACATGGACCCACCATGTGGGATGTGGGTGGGGGCCCACATGTGCCACAAAAGTGTGGCACGCCCCACCATCTTTGGATTCTCTTGTTTGCTTTTAAGATAAGGTTAGTTTGATTTATGGAATGTGGTCAAATCTTGGAAAGGATATATTGGCTATGGCTTTATCTATTTTGTAGCAAGTTTGTTTTAAAGAGATATGGTCAATTTGAATTGATAGGGATCTTATCTTATTTATATTTGGTAGTATTTATCTATTTGATATTATTTGACATATCCTTATGGAATATGTGACATGGATCGTGTAATTTTATAGAATGCGTGATATTTACATGGATCGTGCAATTTTATAGAATGCATGATATTTACATGGATCGTGCAATTTTATAGAAGGTACGATATTTATTTTATTTAAATATATTGATAGGAAAATGGTTTAGGAAAGGAGGATAATGGTTCATGCACATAATGTTGATGGCCTATCTATGGAATGGATGACTCAGATCTCTCACCTCACAAGTCACCCTTGATCGACGGTCTATGTTCAATCTCACAAGAAGAGGCGCTAAGAAAAACCCTAATGTTATTCAAAGCCTATAAAAAAGGTTTCTCTACCCATAAATCTTTACGCCTTATCTTTTGTACCCAATTCCCATCTTTCTCTCTCTTATCTCAAAAAGGGGGTACACACGACTCTATCATGTTTGATCTCTCTCTCACATTGTGAAAGAACCTAAGTATTTAGGTTATGAAGGTCTGCTTTCTTATCTCTCGAATATAGATTTATGGCTAAGGGGTTTAGGGTTTCGCAAAAAGAGAATCTATCTCTCTCAAACTAGGATGCTAAGAGAATTCACTTAGGATTTGAGTTTGTGATCAAAGGGGTTTATGTTTCAGTGGTGTGGCTTGGTCGAAATTTGCTTTTTCGGTTCGAGATTGAAGCTAGACCGTTGATCCCGTACCATCGGATGGTGGCGACTTGGTTTGAGGTGTAATAAGCCCAGTTAAGGTTATCTCTCACACTCTTCTTTTTGTTTCTCGCAATCTTATCTTTTATTTTCAAGTATATTGCATAGTTGTTTCAATGACATCAAGTTGTTAAGATATTAGTTTTACTGTTATGTTGATTTTGTTTTGAAATTTATCGTATTATAATAAAGATCACCTGTAAGTGATCTTTTGCCAAAAGAAAAGGGTGAAAAAAATAAATAAATAAATAAATATATTTCCTGATAAAAGATCACATAAATCTTTCTTTGAAGCATATGGTTCACCTACATATTCGGTCCAAATTGATAATCTAAAAAATATTTAAAAATAAATAAAATAAAATAAAAATTGGAAATAAAGGTTTAAAGAGTGGCGATATAGTGGCACTTGAAAAAACATTCAATAAGCTTTTTTTTTTTTTAAAAAAAAAACACAATTACATTGAAATGAGGGTTCTAAATAGGACCTCGGACTCATACCAAATCAAAATTGCGCTCTCTTTCCCAACGAAACCGCAGCGAAAGTTTTCTCTCTTCCCAGCAAAGGCAGACTCTCGCCAAGAACTATTCGCGGCCTTGCGACCTCAACAACTACCTCCAGTGAGTTCTTTGTTGATTTTGCATTTTTTTTCTTGCGAATTTCGGATTTCTTGGGCGACACCATTCTTCTGAGGGTTTTTTTTTTGTTGAAAACCCTACAAAACAGTCCTGTGAAGGACATTTTTCGTAGACGGTCCGACGACTGAGGGCATTTTTGCATTACATACTACAAGCTTTCACGGCTCCCGAGCGTCGAGTATAGTTTCATTTGGTGATAGCAATGGCGAGAGCATCTCTCTCGCGCCTTTTGAGCTTGAGCTGCTCACAAAAGCTCTCCAAACCCTATGCTGCTACAGGTATCTCTCTCTCTACTGGGGCCTACTCCATATTTCTCTTCTTACAGTGTCATCTCAGGCTTCTTTGTTACGTGAAATTTAGTGTGCTTATGATCGTTATATTGGATGGGAGTAATTTCTTCTTATATCTTTGCATTATTTTCAATCTCTCTTTTGTGGGTTCTTCTGGGAATCCAAATCACAAACTTTCAATGTTTCAATTGAATGTTATTGCCACACTCCCCTATGGGAGAAATGAGAGAAGAGGAGAACGATTTATTTTGGGTTTTGTGAAGAGATATTATTGGTTAAAATCCATGCAGGGCTTATGAGGGGCTATATTATCTCATCCTTTATTTCTATCTTTTATTTTCTGATTTATTTATTTATTTCTCCACTTCCTTGAATCACCCACTCGTTTATAACTAAAGATGATTGTGGAGACATGGAGGTTGAAATTGTTAATGGGGATATCAATTTGTGGAGTATTTAATGTTTTGAGATGCTAGCCTCTTAAGGCTAAAGAGACTGATATGAGTATTGAGTTTAGGCAAATGTTTAGTGACTAAGTTGAGGGAGGAATTTTGGATACATTCAGACATATTATTTGAGCTGATAGAGATCAGGGAGATTTATAGGTAGTAGGTATAATAAATCTATGGGTGCGGTTTGCATGCGGTGTCAACCTTGAACAATCGAAGTAATGCACACATCCAAACTTTTTCGAAAGATGTAAATTTGGTATCAGAAATTCCTAGGGTGGCCTGAAAATCTATTATATGTCTAATCATAAAATTCAAACTCCAAAAATGGGGCAGATCGAGCTGATCAATAAATACTTGAAAAACTTGAAAATAGACGGTCTAGATAATCTATTACAAGATGCACTAGTTTTAGGACTTGAATTTTTTTTTTTTCATATCCATATATCTCGAGGTTGACATGATCAATTAGAGTTTTTTCTTGGTGGAAACAACATTTTTTTGATGGGTTTTTGGGAGTGCCTTCTACAGTATAAGGTTGACACCTTATATAAACTTTTTCCTAAATCTGTCTTGATGCGCAATTTTTGGTTTTATAATTGCTAGTTATGTTTTCATGAGCAAAAGGTCTCTACTTGTTTGAGAAACTTCAACTTTTCTTGAAATACGAAGAAGTTGGAACCACTGATCTTTAGCTAAATCTCAGCTTGATTAATGATGAATATCAGGTCACACTGCTGATATGATTATATGTAAAGCTTAGGTGAAGGTTGAAATCTTCTTGTTTTGTTTCATTCGATGGGTGTATCTCTGGTGGACCCTTGGCATGAGACCATGCAGGACCATACCACTTCATTCTCTCCATGTTTGTGCCAGTCTGAAAGGTGGAAATCTTACTGATTTGGTACAATACTATTAAATGTTTAAGTAGTTTCTCTAGGATTTAAATTGTTTAACTATGAGTTATGTGTTTAAACGGACTTGTCTTGTAATCCAGGTTTGTGCTTGGGCCTTGGGTAACTAGCCAGTGCTTTGGTATTGCGGACTGTTCATGCAGTACTCAAATAACTTTTCTGTTCTTTGTTTGATTGAGCTTCCATTGACAACGTTTGTGTTTCCTTTAGGCAAACTTAAGTGTCTATAGTCGTCAAAAACTTAGTAGCTCTGCTCCTCAATGTTGTTCCCTTCCTAGAAATTTGAAACTGATCATGTTCACACGTTTTTGAAATCTTATTTACCTGAGCCATATTGGATTTTATTGGATACCATATTTAAAAACAACTTTTCTTGAATCAATAGTTTGAAACTGACTCAATCATTATCCTATTTTATTCGTTCACTATGCTACAATATGCTATGATTGATAACCTGCTTTAGAACTAATTAGTTTTAGTCACGCCTACGTCTTGTATGTCGATTCAGTGCATCTTTAAGGGTCTCTTAATCTTTGTACCTATGTTTTAGAACCCTTGCCCTGGGACTTGCTAGGTCTCTGTGGTGATTCAGCTGGTGGAGTTCCACGTCGACTTGGTGAGTCTTATTATATAAAACTCAAATATGTTTTAAGAATATCCAATTTCATATTTTTTGAGAGAAAGAATATTTAATTTCTTTTTAGGACTCGAACAAACTCGGATCAGAATCAGATATAGCTTATCAAGTACTTAAAAACTTGGTAACTTACTAACAGCCCTTTGTTACGAAAGTTGTATTTTGTCTTGATCTGAATGTGTTCACCTTTTTTTTTAATCAATTTTCTTTTGAGTTCTAACTTCATTTGGCTTTCTTTTACTTGGGTTGTTTAACTTTGTTTTTGCTCTTATTCTAATCATTAGTACTTTTAGGCTTTGTGAATGATTTGCATATGTAGTCTCTTTATATCTATTGTATACTTGAATAAATGGCATGAGGGATGGTTCCTTATCCAAAGTTGGTGGATCTATTGTTATTTGCAGGCTCAAAAATTGCAAAATCCCTTCTGATGGCAATCTGTCTTTGTTAGGGGAGAGGTTGGCAGGAATATGATTGTGTTTTAAATGCCGAGAGTTGTTCGATTCATGATTCATGTCCTAGGACTGTAGTGTCTTATACAAGATTGACATGAAGAAAGATAACCATGTAACCATGCCATTGGAGTTTGTAGATATGATTCTTCACATCAATGTGGAGTTGGATTTGATCAAAGGATCCTCTCTTATGCTAGGCATGTGCATATTATCTTATCTTCAATGTATGAATGATACCTAGTGTTTGAAAATCCTCTAGGTCTGTCTCGGGCTTGGTCTAGACACATAGATCTAGCAGGGTGCTGGGTCCAAGTGGATAACCTTGTTAACCAACTGACTCTCACCGGGTCACGAGGTTTACTTGTTTATTTGTTATCTTTTTTAACCCTTTTCCCTCCTTTTGAAGATTTCAGTCTCAAACAAGGGTTTGGGGTTCAGTCCAACTCCCCAGAGCCATTGTTGAGTGTCTTCGAGAGATCAAAACTTCCAAAAGAAGAAGATTTTTGAGAAAATTTTTGTTGATTGAAAGAATTTCTGAACAGTTCGATTTCTTGTGAAATCGACTTTCTACCCTATACTTGTTGTGGTTTGAAGTGATTGTGAGAAAGAACCCTCGGTAGCAAACAGTGACCGATTCGAGCCACGATCAATTGCATTTTGAAAAGTTTGTTCATTTTTATGATTTCGGGTTTCGATTTTTTTTTCCAAATTTGGTTTTTGTTTTTGTATTATTTTTTCCAATTTTAGCTTTGGATTTGTGGCATAGATTCAAGAGTTTATGGTTCGTGTTGAATGATATTTTACAGAGATTGGGTAACCGAAGCTTAATAAAATATTATTGAATTTAATCCCAATTGATTGTTTTCCTACTTTATTGGTATTAAATTTGTATTTTGATTAAAAGGGGCAATAATGTGGATTTCTTTCTATTTTATTGCCCATTTTCCATTTTTTGCTGAGTTCTTTATTCAAGAGTGGGTTATGGTTTGTGTTTAATGTAGGGATTAAAAAACGGCGAGTCAACCCGGAATCGCCCGGGTCGACTCGGGAATCGGACACCCCGTGTTGATTCCGATGAAATATCGGAAACCAGATGTTTCTAGAGCTGAAACGGCGATTTTTCGGAAAAATCGGTGACTTGCTATAGTAAATCAGCGAGTCGCTACAATGAATCGCCCCCTGTAATGTCATGATTGCCCTGATTTATAAAATAACTTTTCATTTTTTTTTTATTTTTCAGTTTTTCTATTAAAAAGGTGAATTACTTGGCCCTACCATTGCTTACGTCGGCGTGTTCCATACATGGCCCCACTTACACGTGGCCCTTTTCACATCATCAGCTAACATAACTCATTGGGTTGCTTCTTTTAAAGGGTCTCTTCATCCTGCATCTCTTCGATGTGGGACAATTCTTATATATACACTTTTGCCTTTTACTAACACCTGAGCTTTTAAATTAACATGTGCCTTTTACATACACTACAACGATGGTGTGCTCGAGGGTGTACGCCCGATGGTAGTAATTAAGTTATATGATAAAAAAGGAAAATTATTAAAAATAATAATTGGGTGCTCACCACCTCTATCTTTCACCAAAAATATTTAAATTTACCTACCCAAATAAAACATAAATACTCTATTAGGCTATTATCTCATAGGATTATTTCATCATATGATTAATAATTAATTAAGTAGTTAATTGAGATTAAAAATTAGTACTAGCTCATAGGATATTAAAAAAATAAAAAATAATACTAATTCTAGTTTATTGAATATTAAAAAATATTAGTTTAGAGGATATTGTAAAAGAAAAAAATAACACTAACTCATACCACTTTAGAATTTATTTCTACATTGATAACCAAATCTTTTATTTTATTTATTTTAATTTAATTGCATTATAAATTATGTAATGTAGTATTTTTTCTTATAGTTGTTAATAATACATTTTAAATGAGATGATATTATAAGATATTTTGGATTTGTTATTATTTGTATAATAAAATAATTATAAAATGTAAACCAACAATTTCAATTTCAGTATATAATATTATAGTTAGTCAGGTTGTAATAATTTTGGATTATAGTTAGTTAGATTGCAATAATTGGGGTTTTTTTTTTTGCCGGATTAGAATTTTCCTTCCAATTCGAGATTTTGGTGGCCATTTTTTCATCGATTTAATCAATTCTTTATTACATATATATGATTATATACTTCATCGATGATAATTTTATGTGGTTTTTCTTTTGTGTGATGTAAACTTAATGGTTAATATAAGTTCATACAGGGAAAGAACATTTAAATATTCGCATATTGATGAAAAAAAAGTTAATAATATAGTACCCCCATTTCTTATTCGGTTCCTAAAAAACAACATTTATAATGAATTTTAATAATTTTTTTAGATTTTTTTAAGGCTTAATCCAATTGATTCGGCCGATTCCCGACCCGGATCGTCGATTCACCGATTCGGATGGGTTTTTTGGGTGCCCGATCTGGGGCACCGATCCGTTTTCTAAACCATTGGTTTAA